GGTAACAAATGATCCTTGATTTGATTTTAAATGCAATGACAGCAAAATTTATTTCTTATTTAATCACTTGCCAGAGCTGTTGAGGACGGGATGGTATTAAACTGCACAATGCAGCATATGACTACTGAATCAGTTGAAATAGGCACAAGAATATATTATGTTTATAGGATAGAAAAAGATTGTACAGCAATGCATATAACTAGAATGGGTATTTTTGTCATTTATACAGTAGCTTATATCATTATTTCTTCCCACTTCCAATTTTTCAGTAATAAAAATACAGGGGATGTGATTCTCTTTGCATTACAGATAAACCATCTTGATTCTTTATTAAATATTTTTATTAATCTGAAGTACTACAAAGCATTTGAGCAGATAAATCAGGCTCCGAACAGTCATTTCCTCTCTGCTATGGCTCTATAAAGTGGATTCATTTATGAGTGCGCAATACCAGAAAAGAAGGTTTCCATATTCATTAGTATGCTCCCTTATGGTCCTATTTTTATATCCCGCTGTAGTGTGCAGAAGGGCTAGCACTAACTTGTTCCCCAAAATGAAACAGGTCTCGGCAATCCGCTCTGTAATCCCTCCGGGTTTTGTGTCGGATGTAATCAGGGATCACCGCTCGGGTACCACGCGCCAGCCCCGGCGGGGAGCGTGCCCGGGGTGCCCCCAGCCCCGGCTCCCCCAGCCCTGCCCCGTGCCCCGCTCGGCAGCGGGGGGACGCCAGCACCTGTGGGGTGATTTGGGAACGGATCCAGCCCCAGCATCGCCCCCTCCTTGCCAGCGCCAGCTCGGTGCCTTCGCCCATCGCCCCGGCCGCTCTCCCCGTAGGATGTGGGGATCCCGTGACTCGGCAGAGGGTCTGATGTGGGGGCCAGCCCCTCCTGGGAGGGTGCCCGATGTCGTGGGGCTCTGCTGGAGGCTGGTCGACCCCCTAAGGTGTCGCTGGCCTCTTGCTGTCCCTTCACCCCACATCCTCCCACCCTACGCAAGCGGCACTTGGGGGCCAGCACCGCGCTTTTGGCCAAGCCCCCCCACGGCCAAGCAGCTGCGGGCTCCCCGTGGCACGGCGGTCCCAGGGGGTGCTGCCGGGGGGGACACACCAGTGCGGGGGCAAGCTGAAGCTGTCAGCATTCAGCCTTCGACAGCTGACAAGTCATTTAGTCATCGGAGGAAGCTGTGGAGAGGCACAAAGGAATTAAAGCTATTTAAAACGCAGCCAGGTGTGCAAACAAGTTTATCCTATTGTAACAGCTAACGCGTGAATCAGGAGGGCTCTATAAAGGTTACAGCAGCCGCGGGGTTATTTAGGGCTCCTTGGGAGGTGTGACATTTAGTGCCTGTGTTTGCTGGGGCTGTGGGACTTGCTGGGACCCCTGGAGCCGCTGCCTTCGCCCCCAAGAGCCCAGGGCTGCATTTCCCTGCCCCATGCCGGGGTCGGCCTCATCCTTCACCCCTCCTCGCCCCAGCCGCTGCTGGCACCCCTGGGGGACTTGGCTTTCATTTCAAATTTTACTGCAGCAGCTGTCTAACATTTGTTTGCTGTTTGGAAACAGGAATTATGGCACTCGGCAAAAGGCGCAGTCCCTCTGGGGCCGCTGCTGGCAGCCGGCACAGCCCCAGCCCGGCACCCCGGGGCTCCAGCGCTCCAAAATCTTCCTCCTGCTATGGGTGGCCTTTTGCAGCCAAGCTGTGATCGCATGCTGGGGAGCGGGAGCACGGCTGCAGGGGGATTTATCCACACTTCTGTGCAGACCGCTGCTTTTTCCTGCTTTTGAGCATCGCTGCTCTCTCCGGGGCATCCTCGCAGCCAGCCAGCGGGGCCGTGCGTGCCCGCCTGGGCCAGCACAGCGGCGGGAGCCCGCCAGCGTCGCAGAAGGATGCAGATGAGGCTTTCCTCCCAGCCCCTTTCCCACTGACTGTGCTGGGCGAAGGTGCACAGGGGTTTGGCCCCACGGGGAAGGGTCTGCACGGGGAACCGCAGCGGGATGGCTGACGATTTCATGTGTTTCACCAACAGGGTCGGAGCCGCTGCGGGGGCAGAGGAGCGGAGTTGTAACACCTCTCCATATGTGCCGGGGTGCTTTCCTTGCTGGGAGCCACTGGGGCTGCACATAAATCCGTTGTCAGCTGCAACTGTGTCACAGATGTCCCAGGACATGAATTTTTTTCTCCAGTTTTAGTGCTGGCATAAAGGTAAATTATGGTAGTTGTCAGCATTAGCAAAAACCGTCATCTCCATCCTGCCTGTAAACAGCGCGGCGGTGGGGCCTGGGGGCTGGAAGAGACAGAGGAGAGGTGGGTCAGCTCCCGTTTTCTGGAAATTATAGGGACCAGATCATTGTGCTGCGGGGCTGGGACTGGTGCTGGTGGGTCAGCTGTGGCCGGGGTCACCAGCACCGCGGCAAAAGCCGCGGCAGCAGGGGTGCCTCGGCCAGGGGAAGCTCTTCTCCATCCCACCACCGCCCTCTGCAATGTCGGCAAGGACCGGCGGCGCGCTCAGACCCCTCTCGGGGCCCACAGCTGGTCCATCCCATGGTGAGGACGGTGGAAGCTGCGTTCGAGCTAAATTGAACCCAGAAACTCTTACGGCACCTGCCAGGGCTCGAGCACGGACACCTTGGGAAGCGCTGGTGGTCTGCACCTCCGCTCTACGGCAGAGCGCTGTTCACGTAGAGCTCCGGCCCCTCGTTTCCAGGACACACGGACGCTTTAAACACCGACTTAGGAAAAGCGGGAGTGGGAGAGTTTCACACCTTTGCAAAACAATGTTCAAGAAGGAAATGAGCAGCCAGCAATTGTAATTGAGATGGATGAAAGGGCGGCTGGCTTCCCCCAAAGCGTTTCAGGCAACATACTTGAGAAGAATATGAAGTGCTGCTGCTCTCTAAAGATCGCCACGCTGCGGCTAAATTATTAATGACTAGGAATGATTTCATATTTAATCTAAAGACTATTAATTACACTGCAGAAGAGCAACATACCATCCTGAGAGCCCCTCTCACCAACTGAATAATTTAGTGATGCCCCGTATTTTACCTCAATGTCAAGGCGGGCGGCGACACGCCTGCTGCGTGTGCAGCGCTTGGGGCAGACGCTGGTGTCCCACGGGGTACGTGGTGCTGAGGGTGACCCCCGCGCCCCCTGGCCCGATGAAGGGCGCCGGGTGGAGGGGGACCTGTGGGGCTGGGGACACGGCTGTCCCCCTGGCCCAGCCGGGCTCAGAGCCCGTCAGCAGCCCCGGCTGCGGAAACGCTGAAGACAGATGTTTATTTGTCCGGGATTATTTGCTGATCACTGTTACGGTGATCCAAGATGATCATTAAAAAGTGAAATGGGCTGTTTAATAATAATGCTCAGAGCACGCAGTGTGCCTTACATTACGAGGATGTTTAAGCATGAGCCCAATTAAGTCCCTCGCATCCCTACAGAATTACCCCAGTTGCGCTATTAGGCGAACTCCAGGCTCCTCGTACTCGCAGGCAATCCTGGAGCCTGGCACTCTGCTAGAGACCCATTTCTATCCTGAAGCTAAATTAAAATCCTATTGTGCCGGTGCTGCTAATATTTCCTGCTCTTGTTTCCAACAATTAAATTGTGACATTCTGCCAAAATGTACGAAGAAACTAGAAAATGCTCTCGATGAGTGGGAAAGAGGAGGCAAATCCTCCCGGCCGCCTCCTGCCGCCCAGATGCAGCGGTGACGGTCACGGGTAAAATGGCACCCGATGGACGCGGGAGCAGCGGGCGGACGCGGGCATTCGTCATTCTCTGCCAGCGTGTGTGAGAAGCGGGACTTTAAATAGGAAGTTGAAAGGTTTTCCTTTTCCCTTTAGGAGAGAAATCTGTGAACCGGATCCATGTGGTGCCAAAAAGCAAAATGCCGATTATAAGGAAGGACTCGAAGGATGATTTGCGCCACTGCCGCCCCCAGCACCGCCAGCGGCCTGATCCTGCCGCCCTTCCCGCACAGGTACTGTCACATCCTTTTCAATACCCCCCCGATTTCTAATTCTCTTTTCCCCCTTGTCCCGGCTCCCCTGGCTGCTGCCCACCCCAGTGCTTCTCAGGGAGGCCATGGGGGGTCCCCGCTGCCCCACGCCGCCTGCAAACCCCAAAGGGACCCCCCCAAGAGCGCTGCGGGTCCCAAAAGCTGGCGAGAGCAAGTTAGCTGGTGGGGGAAAGAGGGGAAAATAAAAGGCTGTTTAAGAAAGAAATGACAATTTGGTCATGGCTTAGAAGTTGGTACTTAGAAATTCCATGAATTTTAAAATAAAGACATTGTGAGATTTGAACATTCTTTTGAATACTCACAAACTGCAGTGCCTAATGCCTTCCCTGGCCATTACGGAGCTGTGCTGGAAAGCAGAGAACGCTAAGTACTACACTGATAGAGCAGTTGAACACGGTAATAGAATTGTGTTTGGAGAGGCTGCAAAGCCAGGTATAGAGCCCATACATAAACAAGGCCATTACCAGCCAGGGTAAGCAGTGATAGAATTTCATGAATATCCCCACAAAAAGCTTTGTATATTTATAACAACCTACAGAGTCGTTTGGAGCACAGTCAGGGGCCTTTCAGAGTGATTCCGGAGTTAAATTGTACAACAGATCTGCGTCTCTCCGCACTGGGGCATCGGCGAAGCTGGACGGGGCGGCGGTGCCAGGGTGCCGCAGGGGGAGCGGGGCAGCCCCCGCTGGGCACCCTCCTGCCCACCCGGGGGACTGCGCGTCCTGACGCAGTGCCGGCAATGACAGCCTGACGGATATTGCCCACAAGTTCTTCCAGTTTCCAACTGAAGACATTCTTTTTAGGAAGTTTTTTAAGATGCTCCTCTGTTTGCAGGGAAGGGGAAGCAGAAGGGCGCTGCTTCCCCAGCTGGGATGGGGAGGGGAGCAGAAGTGCTTGCTCCTCCTCTGTCCGCCTGGGGAAGCTGCTAAGGGGCAAGAGACAGAAGTTTCCATGTCTCAGAAACAGAGAAATAAATCTGGGACCCATGGGCCCCGAAGCATCAGGATGGAGCTCCTGCGGGGCTCAGCAGCCGCACACGGCGGCAGCTACAAGACGGGGTGAGAGCGGGGGCTCCTCCGCGGTACGGTGAGGCACCGGCTTGGCAGCGATGAACACGGCCGAGATCCCGCACGGGAGCTGTTGGGCGCAGACAGATCCTGGTGCTTCCCTTGGCTGCTTTCCTGGCGATCCCGCAGCGGATCCCGCAGCGGGTCCCGCGGCGCTCCCAGGACAGGCCGTCAAACACAAGCAGGACGCACCCGTGCTGCCAGAGCCCGGGAGAGGAGAGCCACGTGCACCGGCGCCCCAAGCAACCTCTTGAGCATATTTATTGCTTTAATTTAAATAAATAGGTACTTCAAACTTACGAAAACTTTGTTCTGCAACTCTTGCAAAACCTGAACCCAAGCGATAGGTACGCAGCTCAAGCATGAGCCATAATAAAATGCTAATTGCAATTCATAAATTATATCGGGATGCCTGAGACTATTGAAGATCCTGGATGAAGTGTAGTGTTCAATTTATCCTCTGCATGCTGCCGACAGTGCTGCCAGCCCCCTTCTTGTCCCCCTGTGTTGTTTTGTCATCTCTGTACTATCACCAATTCATCACAAAGGCAACCGAACTCTCCGATGTCCACCCACCGGGTGACTTTGTCTTCGCTACTCTATGACTTCTACATTAAATTGTCAAAACACATTACTGAGAAAAATATCGCGAAGGGAAAGTTCTTTGCCCTTTTATCCCATCTTAAGAGAGAATCGGCTTGATTTGAAGAAAACATGTCTGCTTCATTATCCCTCCTGCTCTCATATTTCTTCACTCAGCAGATGCAGAAAAAAAGAGTTGATACACAAGTCTTGGATGACATGATGTAGCATCCCACAGGAGTTGTCTCAATAAATTCTGAGACAGCCCAGGAAAAGCTGGGGGGGGTGGTGGTGGTGTAATTTTCACATCTCTTTTATTCCTCCCACTCTCAGACAATTTAAAAGAGATTATGGGGTTGCTGGAAGGTCCCTGGTGTGGATTTCCCTGAGCTGGTCATCCCTGCTCCTCCAGCACTGGTTGGTCTGGAAGGAGCTCCTTGGAGTCCTTGCAGCAGACGAAATCTGCTCAGGAGAGGCACGGCCAGCGCCTCGTGCGTGCCGCGGACCCCGCGGACCCCCATCCTCCCTGGAGGGCCACAGACAACTTGCAGACATGAGAGCAGTCCCACAGCCGCTCCAATTTGTACCAAAGGAGACCCTGCTGCCCAAGCAGCGCCTGCTCCCACACCCCTCGCTTTGGTTCTCGCAGGAGTCAACGCCAACGTCACGCTGCTCCCCCCGTGCAGCCCGAGCACGGGGTGTTCGACAGCGGGTGGGCTCCGTCCCCCGCCCCTGGCCTGCTCCCCCCCGTAGCGCGGGGCAGCCCCCAGCCCAACGCCTGCAATCATCAAATCAACGGCGTTTTGCAGCCGGCGCCCCTGGAACGCCGGTCACCCTCGGTACCGCGGGAGGTTCCTGCTGCTAGATGCAATCACGGCAAATATTTCACCTGGAGACGTAAAACAAAAGGAGCCATTTCTCAAAGGAAAAGAGCTGTTGATTTCCCCATTTTCTCATTCACACGTTGGTCTCTGGGCATAATGGATCAGTTATAAAAAGCAAGTAACGCATTGTGCACTCATTCTTTTGGCTTTGGACAATATTAACATAATACACACATATTGTTTATTTATTCTGCCGTAGTGCAAGTAACGGAGGTAATGCCCGACGTTTAAATGGGGTATTTTTAAATGCTCGCATTTCCTTAGCCGTTATGATGCATTAGCCATCAGTAGTCAAATTGCCTTGTATTTGCAATTTTATGGGTACATTTTATCAAGCACACAGGAGCTGCATTCGAAGCATGAAAATAAAGTATTCCACTTGTGTTAGGCAAGGACTGTTTCGATGCAAGATACGGCCAGAAAGCAGAAATCTCCTTTTTTTCTGCCTCAGCTCCAGATTCATCTCCAAATATTGCTTCTGCTTGCGGTAGCGACTGCTAAGAGCCCCCTTTATGGCTGCGTAACATCCACGCATCCTCCCCGCACTGAGAGCTCACGACTGAACTTAGCCTGCCGTGAAATCACCCGATGTTTCTTTGCTGTTTTAAAATATCTCCTAGCAAAACGTTATCCTTGCTCTCCCCCACAGAACGAGCGGCTGCCGGGGTCACGGAGCATCACCTTCCCGAGTCGGCGTTGCCTTCCCGAGCCGGCATCACTTTCCCGAGCCGGCGTCGCCTTCCTGAGCCAGCGTCCAGACTTCCAGCTCTCCCCATGAAGCAGAAAAAGTTGCAGCGAGGAAATAACGCCGGTAGTCAGGAGGGCACAGCGGTGGAGCAGCAGCTGGCTGGAGCCAGGGCTTCCCCCTCGGCCCTTCGCAAGGGCAGCACCTGGGGTTCCCCCACTGCTGCCCCCGGGACCTGCGCCCTCCCCTCGTGTCGGCCCCGCTGGACGCCCCACGGCTCCAGGGCCACACTTCTTGGGGGAGAAACTCGCGCAGGTTGTCCCCAAGGGGAGCTGCTGCTGGCAGGGAATTTGCTGAGGGGGAATTTGCTCCCTCTCGTGGGCTCTGGGAGCTGGTGTCTGAGCCCGGCAGGCCAGCAATGGTTGCGGAAAGGGATGGGATTCCTTCACCTCTTGGAAAACAGGGAAGGAAATCTCCCGTTTGACCCCCGGGAGCTGCTGGCCCAGCGCCATATAAGCATAGAGACCCCCAGAGACGCACTCCTGGGTCACAGCTTCGGCAGTACTGACTGCTTTTGGCAACCCGAAACTGAATCTGCTTTTTGATGGGATTGAATTTTGGCTCTGCGGAGCTCTCAGCTCCTTCTCACATAACGCTTTATTGCCTTTATTGTCTCTGGGTCTGCTAACTCTGCCTGGATTTATTTCTTCCAGAGAGCTTTAGCTGCCGTTCAACCAACTCCAGACTGAGTGTGTAACATGAATATTACAGCGCTCGCTCTCGGGGGTGAAACGATGACATATTCCTCGTATTTTCTAGACAAGTACAGCTCCATTTAATACATACATAAAAATCCAGCTATAGCTGCAGTGGCCTTTTTTTCATTTCAAGCTCCCTTTAATAGTGTATTTAACGCCAAAAAAACCCCATTGCTTGTCAGGCTGCAGACAATAATCCGGGAAGGGAAAACAGGTCAAAGCATATTGAGAGCATAGAAAGCCTGCGCCCAGCGCTCCGCTATGGATCAGCCTTAAACATCTCTAGTTCCCTGGGAAATGAATGGCCGCACCCTGCAGCACCCACAGGGATGTGGAAAGGATGGGAGATGGGCAGCTCATTTCAGAGCTGGCCAGGCCTGGACGGCCAGGCCCCAGACAGATGGACAGGCCCTGGACAGAAGGACAGGCCCGGACAGAGAGACAGGCCCTGGACAGATGGACAGGCCCGGACAGCCACCCAGGCCCAGCCAGCCACCCAGGCCCCGGACAGACAGACAAGCCCAGATGGCCAGGCCCGGACAGACGGCCAGGCCCGGACAGACAGCCAGGCCTGGACAGACAGGTAAGCCCGGATGGCCAGGCCCGGACAGATGGCCAGGCCCGGACAGAGGGCCAGGCCGGGACACACAGCCAGGCCCGGAAGGACAGGCCAGCCCG